AAGTATTTTATTAGATTTATTATTAATTATTTAAGCTTTTTTAAAAATTAAAAATATAGTTTTCTTGTTAATACTCTAGCTATAGGGTTATTTTTAAGTGCCTCTTTTCCTTTATATAGGGCCTCTTTATTAATAGTAGTAGTAGTATTTTTACCCTCTAAGCCTTATTAATATTAATTGTAAAATATTATAATAGGTAACTTACTTATATTAGGTATTTTAATTATTATATAGGTTAAGAAGTTTTTAAGGTAATTAAGTTACTTTTACTTTATAGGGACTTATATTGATAGGCTTTTTTTGAAGTTTATTAAACTACTATAACTAATATTAGTAAGTATTTTAAGAAGCTTTATAGTAGTAAGAACTTATATATTATTACTTATAATATAGCTTTTAATATTAAAAGAGAGTAATAATAAGAAGAGAGAGAGAGAATTAACTTATAAATTATTAAAACTTTATTAATATATATTATACGTTTATATTTAACTTTATAGTATAAGTTATTAATATAAAATATATTTTACTTCACGTAATTAATAGTTAAAGTTATTTATAATAGCTTTTATTAGTACGTATTATAATAAATTATTAATTAGCTAATATATTTCACGTATTATAATACGTTTATAGTATATTATATAATTAATTCTAGGTCTCTAACCTAGGTATAGCTAAATATAGTGTTACTAGATAGTAGATACCCTTTATTTAGCCTGTTTTTTTTATTTTTAAATAAGTTAATAACGCTAATTAAAAATAAATATTATAAGCTAATTTATAAAGTTAATAGGTCAAGTTCTTTTTTTTTAGGATAAATAATATTTTATTAAGTTAAGTTCTCTAACCTTTAAAATAACACTAGAACCTAGTAAAAGCTTACGTAACCTTACGTAATATTTTTATATATTTCAATACATTTTAATACCGCTATTTTTTAATATTATATATTTATAAGCTAATTTATTCTTGTTATAAAGGGTTACTTAATTTAATATTAATATTATTAAATTTTTTAAAGCTTTAAAATTATCTCGAAATTTTATAGTTAAATAAGTAGCTAGCCTACTTAGTTATTAACGGGTAGGTATAAAAGTGTAATTTAATCTTAAAAGAAGAGTATTCTACGTAGAATATTTACGATAGACTACGTCCTAGTAAGCTAATAGCATATAAACAAACAGACTCCAAACGCATGCTCGGCAGGATACTAAAAATGCTCCCGTCTCGCCACAATAGCCTATCACACACTATTTTCGTTCTTCTGCCTGCTCACTATGCTTGCCTAGCTTAATTGAGGTATAATTTAGGTCCGTTAAAGGTAGCCCCGTCAAGATGAGAAACCGATTAAGACGACTAGACTTGAGCAGTAGAGCGTGCTGCCACCTGGGAATTAGAGATGCTACGCAATCGCGCGACTATTCACCGGTATTGGCCTCAGTCACGATAGTGGATTTGTCTTCTAAGAGGGTATATGCCAAAAAGGACATGCCGACACAAAGGCAAGCTGAGTGTGTCAGAGAAATGGGGTATCAATAAATGGGAGGTAAATACTTGCCCAAAATCGTATTCATAAGATAGTAACCCACAGAATCGGCCAAGGCACCAGACAAGAGAGGCCCAAGTAGCAAACCTGCCGCAAAGGCCAGATTGGAAAGCGAGTAGCATCTTGAATAGCCCCCGCCAGGTCCGAATATGCCTGGCTGCTTGGACTCAAAATCGTCCACAACGCCTGTATGTTTTGGAGCAGCCCGGGTCAGCTTATGCTAGGCTATCATCATAAAGGCCATGGTATGACTTTTTGCTTACAGGTAATCTCGAAAGCACTAACAGTGCTTGTCAGATTCGTTACACATCCTATGCCGATAACCGCTGCCACATATGTGGATTTGGCAGAAGCCTCGGAGGAAGCCCACGGAAACTGTTTCTGATCTGCAGCACCGAGGAGCCACAAAAGAGGAGCCAGTGAGGCGAATCCAAAAGCTGTAGGCTTTCTTGTACCAACTTTGTCCCTCAGCCAGCCATAGACAGGGCTGGAAAGAATGACGGGAAGCTGCAGGAGCGCAAATAACAGACCAGTTGCTAAGCTGTTCCATCCGAATGCAAACTTCACATGATTGGGGATGGTGGTGCCATAGCTGGAGATCATGATGGAATGAACAATGGAGCATAATATAGAAATAATAACCCTTCTCTGCGTAAGAACAACCCTAAAGAATGCGGTCGCTGCCGTAGCCACAGGCTCTTCTATGGAAGCTTCTTCAGATGCATTATCTGATTGATCGTTCGAGCAAAATATCAAAGGCGATTCTTCGTCTGGCACTCCGGCTGTGTTGTTGGAATCCTCGTGGGCGATGCTGGCGTCAGAACTCTCTATCATCACGAGCCTCATTGCGATATTCATTGTCATAACGACAAATACACTACCCCAAGCCATCCAGTAACCGGCGAGAGAGAGTAGCACTCCTGCAATGGCGGGTCCCAAGAGCTCTGCTATACTTATGCAGCTGTACATGAATCCGAACGCCTTGCCCATGTGCTCAGCGCCGACTGAGGCTCGGAGCGTGGCCACTCCAACGATCCATGCAGCTGTTGCGCCAATGGATTGAAGCGCTCGGCCAACGTAAATCAACGATACTAATAAGAAAACCATGTATTAGAAGTAGATTTAATCAAGAAGATAAGAAGAATGTGGTGCCATACCATCTGTAGCTGCAGCGACGGAAAACGTTCCGATAATAGCAACAACTAAAGCCGCTACCAGTGGCATCTTCCGTGTCGTGGCCAGGTCTGCGAGCTGCCCGATGAAGATGGAAGACACAAGCGAAACAACTCCGTAAAGAGTCAGGATTTGATACGTCAGCCGTTGGATATCCGATGGGTCTATATGATTTCGCTCTTCCAGCATATAAGGTAAGATGGGAATAATGAAGCTGTAAAGGAAGCTTTCTAAAGTTCCAAGCACAAAAAGTGCCGAGTTAGTTAACTGATTTATTCTGGAAAGTCCAGTGCAAAACAGTCTCCTCCCAAATGCATCTAAAATAGGACCGAGCCGTGGAGTAGGGGTGACGTACCTGCGAATAGAGAAATCGAAATGCACACAATACCGAATGTTGTCGACGACCGCCACCGCTTGCCCCAGACTTTGCGCCCTTGACGAAGAGTTGCTGATTTCATTTTTACGCGAGTGTTTTCTTTATATTTTCCCTTAAGGTGATAATGGTCCTTTCGAGAGTCTTGGTTGCCGGAATGTCAGACTGTGGACCATAAAGTTGGTGATTGTGGCAAGATGATCCGTCTGCCATGTCATGGAAGAGCTTCAAGTGCTACTAATTGGCTTTGCGGCTCGAAGCCTGCCCATAAACGAGGGTGAGAGACATTTATGCGGCAATATTGACGAGACATCTCGAGATGGTGGGAACCTGAGACAAACCCGCACGCCATTATTTGGGGGAGTCCGGCAGGTTTCAACAACGCTGAAGTAGAGCAATTGATAAGAATGATAGTCTAAACAGGCTCTTTTCTCTCTCTATTCACCTATATTTCTTTCCTTTCATTAAGCAGAAGGTAGAAACACAGTACCTCAATGTACATTGTGGTACTAGAGACCGGAGTTGCTGATACATGACCGCTTGCACTGGTTACCACGGACTTACATGACGGGGCCGTGTCACGATGCAGTGAAAAGTAGCCACAGAGCACTGATCCAATGGGAGAAGTGAAGAGCTTCAGTTGACGTAACATATCATGCGCCTCTTGCTTACCCCTCTTGTATGAAGAGCGAATTGGGGCAGCTGTACGGCACGCAAGCGCCCGTGTAACTACGCTGCGGGGTTGGTCGGGCACCGGAATGGATGCCCCTGGTTTGCTTTGGAGTATTGTCGTGAATCAACTACTGGCCGAAGTGATCATGTAGTCTGGCGTGCTTTGCAGACTCTGTGAATGCATTATGAATCACCCAGGTCAAGAATTTCCCCGAGAGAAGTGCGACATGACCCGAGAACTTGGAAAGGTTCTCCGAGTAAATACATGATCAGTAAGAAGTACTTATTGCCCAGATACCCCAAAGGGACTGGAATGGTTCCTATGCCTTTGAGTCCTGGTGACAATCTATTGGTGGTGGGATATGCAGGCGATCACGGTTCAGCTTTTCATACAGCAACAAGGTCATACTGGCATCCGATTTATGAATCAAGTACGAACCAACAAGAGTAGAAATGTCATCATCATCGGCGAAATGACAAATGCTGGTGAGATGGGAGCCTTCGGGACATGGGTGACGAGCTTGGTCAGGGCGGTCGCACTTGATAGAGCGCTTCTTAATTGATCAGCCCTTATCACTGCTAAATGGCGTGTGTGAAGCTGAGAAGCTCATATTTTTCTCATACATCAGTATGGCTGGTATGCAGTGTGATTGGTGTTACAAACGCTGATTTGGTGTAAGTGGCATATGCGGGATGGCCGATATCCCGGTTAGGTGACGTACGGCACTGGCTAACCTATAGTTATTAATAGAGTTTGAAAGCTCCTTTTGAGCCCATTTGGGACTTTCCTGAAAAATGTGGGTGATGTAATGAGCGAGAGTCTTGGGCCATGGTTGGACAGATGTACAAACGTGAGGTGCCACGATGTTTGCTGCAATTCGATCATCACCGCTGACATAGGTGTTTCTCCAACTTGCACCTCATGCTCTGTCGGTCGATCCCAAGTCGAGGTATATAGTGCATCCTGCACGGCAATTAAAAGATCCGAGGAGTATAAAACCCAATCTCAAATCCCCAACAATCTAGACACTTATTTCAAGACTGACAGCGGCTCGGACAGGGCTGCAGTCAACATGGAGGCCTCCGACACTACTGCCTCTAGTCCCTATGATACGCCGAATTCCATATTCTCGAGTACGTTGTACGCCATTTTGAACGAAATGTTCAAGTCTCAATTTCCTGACTCTATCGAAGCTTCAAGTTCTACTGGTTCAAGTTCTGCGATCTCAAGCGATACATTCTTCTCGATGCTTGACGGGAGCGGGGAAGACGAGGAAAACACTGCCCAAGCGCTGATAGATATTATCAACGGTATACTAGGTCCAATTCGAGAATCGGGACGAATCATGTCAGATGAAAGTTGGGCCAGTGGCGCTGATGATAACGACCCAGAGCCACATCCCCCCCTTTCGCCTCCCAAAACACCGCCTCCGTTTTGGCCACGACCTAGCCCACACAATAGGAATGAACAAGATCAAATTGATGTCTGGGATATGATAATTGATGAGGAAGAAGTTAGAGAAGCCGAATGGGAAAGTCTGTAAACGATGTTTCTAAAGCGGATATTGAGGCAGCAAGTCATTTGCGAAGCGTCTGAATCCGTGATATGCTTGGTTTTGTGAAATTTCTATCTCTGTAGAAGTGACGTAGCTTCTTATTTATCTGGAAGTAGTTTGCAGGCTGGCATTCTGTTATGTCGTAAAGCATGCTCTACCCTGTTAGCTGTAGAACTCCAGGTATGAGGATGTTGTCAGTCACAGATAGTTCAGGTTATCTCAGAGTTTTCAGACTTGTTTTACTTAAGGACCTGAGGAGCGTTTCGATCACTCACATTGCATTTCTGGGGAGGTAAATTCGGACAAATTCCGTACACCAGATCCATATATAGCAGAGTTTAGAGTTTCCCTCGAAAGCACAAAACTCCCCTGCCTGCCAAGCTGGGAATTTACCACACGCACTTGGAACGTGGCTGCATTCGGGCTTTGATCTGAGGTAATGCTAGTATGTCATGTAAAGCATGGCATAAGAAATGCGCCAGTGCCCCTCGATAAATTAGAGCAGAGTTTCGTGTACCACCAAGAATATAAATACATCGCCACTGATTCGCAGCCCTGATGCGGAAAGCTGCATTGCCACCATCCACAACGATACGCACCCATCTATCTAATCACGCGGGGAGGAGAGTCTTTATGACTGGGCCTCAAGGGAAATCGGCTACGCAATCGCACCTTCGCTGAATCGAGTGCTGGTAACATCACTGTCAGAGTACGCTCAAACCTGGACGAGCTCGAGAGGTATATCCGGTTGGTCGCGGCAGCTGCAGGACTCTCGACTAGAGTTAGAAAGTTACTGTTGGACGCCACGTCCGAAAACGTTATTGACTCTGCCATGAAGGTTGTGAGACGGCACGTAATTAACATTCTCCTCTCGTCAATGAATTGAACAGGTCAAAATGGTGGAAATGCGAGAAGTCAATGTAAAAGACGTACCTGGTCACTCGAGCGTTTCTTCCTCTTGTGCTGAAAAGTACAGTAAAGAAGGTCACAATCGTTAGCAATATCGGGGCATGCTTAATCGGCTCGGAATGTGCAACTCTCAGTCCAAAAGGTAGGATCTACTGCAAATATCCACAAGCCTAATGGCTTTTGAGATCCGCCTTGGTGCTGTGGCTACGGACCTGTTTTTAGGTGTGTTCCGGGGCGTGCATGGTGTGCTACTTGATACGCCTGAGTTGGCGGCAGATGCTGCTGGTTTGACGCAACATAGAAGGGAGTGGATTGCAAAGAGCTATGTGAGTGTTTATTGGGCATGGGCGAGTGAAGACGTATGAGGTTATGGAGGGTAATACGCTGAATACCTCCAATATCTAGTTTATGAATATACCCTTTTCTCCCCCCCCTTTTTCCTCCTTATGCCTGTATGTGACCTCTGACAATCCCTCCTGGTGTTAATTCATTGTTGGGAACAATGCGCTTTTTGGTAACCACGTTTGTAACAAAGCCCTAGTTATGAGGCTCCAACTAACCATGCAAATATCTTGAGAGCTGCAGAATGGAACAATGCCTGTCCCGATGAGCTGGTATATCATCTAATCTGCGTTCTGTAACAGCTAAAGCCTCTCATTTCGGTGGTTCCAACTCGTTCGGCCTCCACATGGAAGAGTTCTCCCTTGGCAAAGCTTGGGTCTATGGTCCTGGGACGATATCATCGGACCAGGGGCGTTGGCAGGACGGACACATCTGTTCTCTTGTTTCACATGACGGCAAACTTTGCATTCCCCTGCTGGATCTGACCTTGGGTATGGAGCTGGGAGGCTCTCCATTCGTCAACTACCGGGCAATCAATCTATGGCAAGAGCCCAGAAAGATTTGCAGGAGCAGTAAGCCTAAAACCGTTCAGAAACGACTTGAATAAGTTACAGAGTTGGCCTTCCATGCCGCAAGATGATATATAGAACCCCTCCTGTGAAAGTACAAGGCTGTCCTCAAATATCCGCCAGTGACCTGGCGCAGAGACACTGTGTTAAACGTCAGGATACTGGCAATTCATAACGTGATAGAATCACCAACGCTGCCGCCTTCCGACCACTCTGGACCAAGTCAGGCAAAAGACTGCGGCTAAAACATCGTTTAAATTGCTTGACCTTACAGTTGGGTTGTAATTGACGACCATTCTACGAAGCAGTTCTCCAAACGTCTGGGTAGATCTACGCGTGACACTTGGACTCGCTGGCAAGCCTTTCCTTAGTATGCCTGTCTCCGCGCAAACTAGGAATAGAACTTGACATCGGAACGAAACATGTCCTGGTAAGTCTGGTTCAATCGCGAAGTATTAGAACTTTAATAAAGGAAAGCCAACGCTGGTTACTGGGAAAGAGCTGTCATAAGAACAGTTCCAATGTTGCCTCCTCTTGCTGCGCCATCGTCATCTCTTGCAGTTATGCAGTTAGTCAGTGACCATCTTCTCGCCATTCAGTGGACGTTGAAGCTGAAACCAGAAATTCCACGGGCATGCGACTCAGTGCATGCCGCATAGTATGATTACAAAGTCGCATTCATACAAGCACAGGTGATTAGCTCGGATTTACCTGCGTTTGCTGGCCGCCGCTATGCCAAGCCAAAAACTTGATCCGACGCAACATGACTCTCTTCCTTTTCCCCTTCCTCCCCCTTTTTCCCGCTTCCTTGTTTCTTTTCTTCAAGTTCAATTGTTTTCTTCGCAACTAAAAGTATTGAAGAGATGCAGACCCTCGTTTACTATCTAACTACGGCTATGGCCACCGGCCTCTTCACCGCGAAGCCAAGCAAAGCTTATTCCGTCAACGGCGCCGAGGCTCGAGACATCCCCATTGAGACGCGACACTACTGGATGAGAAGAGCCAATGCTGCGCTTTTCGAGGTCACGGGAAATCCATGTCCTACACAAGCCTTCGGAACTGTCATTGTGAACCATACCGCGGGCGGCTTGGGTGAGCTCGTCTGCATCGGAGCCAACGACGTTGCATCCGGCAACCCAACCCTTCACGGTAGTAGCCCTCTCCCCGTGACGAGCGGGAAAAAATAGCTAACCACCGAGAGTCAGGTGAAACGGCCGCAATTACAAACTGCAGCGCCATCCTCACGGATCCCAATGGCCCGTACAAGCTGTCCGGCCACGAGGCCCTCAAAGCCTGGGCCGACCTCACCTTGTACACCAACGCGGAGCCATGCCCCATGTGCGCGTCGGCAATTCGCTGGTCAGGCTTCAAAGAGCTCGTCTTTGGCACGGGAATCAAGTCGCTCAGAGCATACAACTGGAAAATGATGACTCTGCCCGCCAAAGACTTGTTCAAATACACCACAGAACTGCCGACAGGAAGGACAACCATCGCCGGAGGCGTCTTGGAGAACGAGACGGATCCATATTTCAAGTGGCAATACACCAGAGGCACCGACTGCCCCCCCGGGTGCAAGAGGAAGGGAGCAAAATGTGCATCCGAGGTTGGTAGCACAGCAAAGTCCGAGCAGCGAGACGCCGCCGGGGTGTATTGGGGTTGGCAGAAACGAGGCGCATAGGAACTGGTCCGTCAGAGTCACAATAACCCACCGGATGAGGGGACCTGCGGCGTTGAAATGATCTAGTGAGGAAGAATGAGATTGGTCTGCTTGTTATCATGCCGAGACACCGGGTGAAAAAAAAAAAGACTGGTCACGGATGGTGGCGCGACAGCCTCGCATGACGCGGGACGCGAGGCATAATGTATGTGACAATGGTGATATTGTTGCCCTTTCGGGTCCCCGGACCACCTCGCGATGCATATACAGCTGCAGGGATAAATGCCAGCAACATCAGGCAGGCTGATCCGTCTGTATCGTGCTATGCGGCAATAAATGCAGCATGTCTTACTCTGGTCCGCATGTGACTGACAAAACCTGGAAGATTTGATGCGGGGAACAAAGACACAAAGAGGCAACATGGCCGATTTCTTACGTACATGTATGCTTCCTCGTGCTTATGTTGTGTAATGTGCCTTTACGAGGGGTTGCTGCATAACTGCGAAAGAGGGCTCATGCATGTCTTTGCAGCCCGTAGTTACACCACAACGGGGAACGTCCCGAGGAGGCTGCATAGTTGGGGCATGACTTCGTGAACATGAACACATTCAGCAAATTCTGGCCTGAGTTGAATCACATGGTGGGCGAGGGCCTGCTATTCGCAGAGCCTGAAAACGGTTTCCCCTTCGTCTCCCGGCTTAAGGTGTGGGTAGCAACCTAGAGACGACTACACGAGAGTCATCCCATGACTACATTGGCTGCCTAAATGACTCTTTCTGTCACGATCGGCTCGTCGGCAGTCTTGTAGGGTTAGCAGACACGGCCCGTCCCCCGCAGCTGTGCTTGCCTGGTGCATACTTTTGAGACAGCAGCGGCACATGTGCGCAGCTTATCCTACTTGCCCGGGCTACTTCAAACAGGGGAAGTAACTGCAGGGAAGTGCCTGTCCTTGCAGAGACATGAAAAGTAGTCACAAGCCTTTGAAAGTACGGAGTAGTTGCACAAAGATGCGAGGCTGCAATGAGTGCTTGTTTTCCATGCCAGATGCCGCGGTGAGGGCTGGGGGAGCAGCACCGGGAAGACGCAGGTCTCATGTATCCCAGTCCATAACGGTCGCGGACCTGGCGCATATTGTCCAAGCCTAGTGAGGCCGCGCTGGTGACATACAAGATTGTACTGCCTTGAGTAACTACTACATTAGCTCTATTTACGCGTGCCATGGTTACTTGTCTGATCAGCTAAAGATCAACAGTTTCATCAAAAGTCAAGTGTGTCTCAAGAGTCTTCTCCCTAGCCTGCTGCATCTTGGCTTGAATAAAGTCAGGCATGGCATCCCGCTCATGTTGGGTTAGAAGGGAAAGTCGATCGTTGAGCGAGCTTAGGGGGCCAAAATGCCTCTGATCAATAAACTTCCAATAGATGTCGTCAAACATGAAACTCTTTCTTGCCGCCAGGCAGAACCAAAACGAGCCATTTTCCATGGACATCTCCATTCGATCTGAGAGACGTTGTAATGTAGTCAAAGATCCCTTCGCAATCTGCTCTTCCTCACAAAATCGAAGCACCTTGAGGAAAAGTTGAAGACGCGGTGTATAGCGGATCAAGAATTCGCTCAAGTCCGACTCCCAGGCCTCTGGGCTCTCAAACAGGAGCCACCAAGGCGCGGAGTAAGTAAATTCGGCGGGCGCAACGTAGGTGAACTCCCAGTCGATAACCCCAGTGACCGTGAAGTCTGACGGGGACACGAGAACATTCGAAGGGCGAAAGTCGTCACAGTAAAGACGGAAGGGACCTGGATGAGTTGAAATCTGTCGAGCAATCCTGCGGAAAAGACACCGTGCCACGTATTTTTTCTGGCAGTCGGACTCGTCCTTGACGGCGTTGTTCCGCTGATACTGTAAGTGAAGAAGTTGCTGTGTTGCCAGTTCCTGGAAGTATTCGGATGCCGTTCTGAAGCGGCAATCGGTGAATATCTTTGGGGGGCAATTCCCAACTCGTACGAGTTCGTTCATGTTGAGAGTCAATGGCGTCTTGGTCACTTTCCACACTCCCGCCTCCCATCCCAGGGCCCCGATGGCTGGGAATGTCGGCTTAGATAACTCTAACATGATCTGGGCCATGCCTCGATAAGCTCGTTCCAAGTCAGAATCGGTTATGCGAGGATCCAGGCCGGGTGTCTGCATTGTTGGATCTCTTAGACAGTGGGACAGCAAAGTCCCCTCAACAAGAGTCGTGACGATATACGGACCGCATCCCCATCTCCCGGTGCCAAGAAGTTTCGGAATCGGAATCGGTGTGAATCGGGCGAGATAACCCATGACCAGAAGCTCGTCGTTGGTCTTTTCAATGCGGAACCGGCTTCGGCCAAGGATAGGAAATCGTACAAGAGCTTGGAATCCATCTTCAAAGGTGACTGTGCAGCATATGTTGTAAGATCCAGTGGTAAACTCTGAAACTGTGACTGCTGGGCTTTCAGGGCGATGACGGCCTGCTAGTCGAAGAGGCAACGCAGGAGACTCTCGGAACAGCAATTTTAGCCAGGCAGAAAACAGCCCCTGGGAATGTTCTTCTGCTAGGTGGTCCCAATCCATTGCAATGACATGCGACCGATTGCAGATTGAATTGTGTCGGAGAGCAAACGAAACCCGCCCCTTTACCGGCGTTACTTCGGGTTATTGCGTGTATCCAGCCTCAACGGCAATCCTGGGCAATCATTACTTGATAGACAGGGACCAGACGTATTAGGGCGCAGACTCGGTATATTCGCCGAGTGTGGTGATGTTGGGATAGCTTTAGTAGAATTGCCTGTTCGGCCTTGCTGCTGCGCCCGGGCCAGATTCACGTGAGGTAGAGTTGTTGGGCTGCCACACATGTCAGCCTTCCGTTGGGATAGCGACATTCCCTCTGTGAGGAAGTACCACTACAAGTCGATACTTAAATTTAGTATCGGTCTCCTTTAGCATTCAGTTTGAAGCAGACTCCCAGCTTGGCTTAACTTACCATGAGTGACACAGCCGAGAATGCCTCAGGGAGTTCTGACATTGTCAACAAAGCTCGCGATACCCTGAGCTCAATCTACTCCTTCTACGCAGCCAATCGCGAGACCCTCGATCGTATCCCATCCTTCATCAGCCAGTCCAGCCGTGAAATCCCGATGATGCTTCGGTCCAGCACTGTTCCCTCTGCCGAACAAACAGAAGAAATGAAGAAACAGCTACAGGGTCTTCTTCAGACCAAGGAAGCGATAGAAAACATTCCAGCGAGAGAGAGGCAGATGATGGTTGAGGCAGCCTACGCTAGCACTGTTGGACGTAAAGGTGCCCAGTGATTAGATCGTGGCGAGGCAGGCACAGTAATACATTAGAACTGCTGTTATTGGAAAAACATTACAACACCGAGACGGTATGGCGGGGCCTCATGGTCATCTTGGTCGCGTGAGGGCAAATATAGGACCATGTTCAGGTTGATTCACCATCAACTTTCCACTTCAGCCACCAGAATGCTTGTATTTTGAATTTAATTTATTAAGTTAATATAAAAAAATAAAAATAAAAACAAAGGCCAGATGACCACGCAAGACATCTAGTAACGCTATAGTTCGGCCGTACGTATTGAATTTAATTCATCTATTGGAGGACCTAATATCTTGCCAGCAGCATCCCGCAGTCCTCCTGAAAGAAAAACCTCTTGTGTGGAGGGTGTCGCGAACAGTTATTGGGTTGAACTCTTGAGCCGTCGAGTACAATAATCCAGCTACAGTGGTAGATTCCCTTGCTACATTTTTTCTTAGGTATGCTCTTTTAGTTTCTGGCAAAGAGGGTACTGATATGGCGCGTGCGCTTCGTTTGGTGCCGGGCGAGAAGCAAATGATGAACGATAGCTTGGTCTTCAAGGAGACGTACTGCTATCATCTGTTACTCCGGTTGGCGCCCACGTCTCTTGTTGTTAGATACACAATTGTCATGTGGTATTGTGCTTCCAAGACAAGGCAACCAACCACTATTGATTCATAACATTGTGACGAGCCCTATTTTTGGCTACATATTTCATGCGCAGAATCACACCATGGTTCTGTCTCAACTGGAATTGAGACTCTGAGCCAGAGGGTCAGGTGGTTGTAATGAGCGACAACGGTGCCCGAACGAGGCAGCCACCATCACAAATTAATACATCAAGTCTTTCTATGAATGATATTATCGTGGTTTGCATCGTCTTGAATGACCTATCACAATTCTAAACCCCAGATGACACTAAAATCTTTTCCGAAACCAATGTCAGCTGGCAAATGTATGTAAGCAGCCATCCAGGGACCAGTCAGCATAGCCTTGGTGAGCTTCTGCGATGCTGGCTAATCGCCTACTTCCTCACGCCACAACTACATGTTAGGCAGACATAACCCGTTCAAGAAGAGATACGTCGTGCTTTGGAGTAAGACATGGGGAAAGTTCCTGCCAGGGTCAGAACGCATGCCGCCGGAAGGAGATTATTAGCCAGCCACAATGCAGCCGCAGTGTAACCTCATCGGCAACGGGATTTTGCGATGGACCGGATGATATGAGACCCTCACTGAGGTTTCTTATGTCCTGGTGACCTTACGAAACAACCTATTCGAGGCATTGTTTCTAGGATGTATGCCGTATACGGTCATGTAAACGTCTTGACTGAGGCTCGGTTACTATGTTGAACACAATGGCATGACAGGCAGTCGAAGGGGTTGAAGTCCAGACTCTCTAGAACCTAGGAAGTGTGACCATCGCCTCCAAGTGCTGTGGAATCAAATCAACGAATTAGCACGGGCGGCATAGCAGCACCACTCTCTTCCAGCTCATGGACAGCGTCCTGACTATGAGACAGAATGCCGCCAGTCCGCCTATAGTTGATCATGCGTCTCATACTCTGTCGGCCATCATATTGTAGCTCGTGACAGACTCAATGATGCAAACCGAGTCTCTGAAATGGTGAGTTCAGGTAAAAATACGACCCTGATGAAGCGGGGAGCGTCCCGGGTCTCACGAGCACACCAGAGCTCTTTCGAGTATAAAAGAAAAGCAAGAGCCGGTTCTAGTTATTTCAACACGAGCCAAATTTGTTTCATCAACAGAACAAGAATAATCCACTCTTCAGAACATTTCTTACCATTCATCACAACTCCTCCAGGATGAAGAATATCCAGATAACCCTCCTTGCCCTTGTTTTCCAGGTCTCCCTCTTCGAGGCCAAGGGTTACAAAAAGAACATTCCTACTTATGAAGTCGGGCCTGACGCCAAGATTGACGGCAAGAGCATTACGTATAAGGACCCTGACTGTGACGAGGGCCTGGATTGCACAGTCACCAGGTCTTGCAGCTCTGCCGGCACATCTCCCGTTCTGAGCGCGGACAAGAAGTATTTCGCTTGCTGTCTCCCGGGAACCCGTCTTCTGGGAAGCCCACAGACAGCATTCGACTGCTGCGCTGATGGCCATGACCTGGTGGGCAGCCCTGCAGTCGGTTATCGATGTTGCCAAACCGGGTTTGAGTTCGATGGAACGCAGTGCAAGCAAGTCTGCAAGAACGGCAAAGTGCTCGTCGGCGGCAAATGTGTCTGCCCCGAGGGCATGGTTGAAGATCCCGATGGAAACTGCAAGGAGAAACCCAAGTGCACATCTGGCCTGGAGACTGGTACGTCTTACTAGCAAAATAGGTGCGGTGTTATTCCGAGAAGCAGCGTCAACTGACCATCTACTCTTCAGGCAAATGCTACATCTTGACGGCTGAAAACGGTAACAGACTTGGCCTCCACAATGACAACGTCTACTATGCTGCCCCTGACAGCATGATTCAACGATATGGCAAATTCCAGCTTTGTGCCGACGAGAAGTGCACTCCTGGTCAGCCAGTTAATCCATCAAACGAGGTCTACATCCGTGATACCTATGGTGACTTGGCCACGGGTGCCAACAAGGGCCAGTGGCTTAACAACGCCGCCAACGGCAACCATATTGGCCGTACTCCAGCCTTTGCCAATGCCGGCCATTTCTCCATCAGCAAGTGGCCCTGCGGCAAGCATTGCTTGGGCGGCTTCACTCAGGGTATCGGACCTGCCTGCCCTGCCGATATTCCTGCCATGACCTTTTATTCGCAGGATCCGCAGATGTGCGTTGCCTTCCAGTTTACCGAGGTGCCCTGCGATCTCAAGGCCGATGTAAACAACTGCATCTGGAAGAACGGAGACCAGTGCTGCAACAGAGTTGACTGCAGCAAGAAAGGTGAATAAAGCCTCTGGATTTCTAATCCATCTTTAGCAAAGCCAGCGGGGAAACGATGGGAGAAGTTGTAGCGGGCGGGTTGCAAGGCGAAGCGTGACGGGACTATCATTAACATTGTATCCTTTTTGCTCTTTCGTCCTGACACTTGATTGCTTCTGTTTTTGTCTATCATTTAGGAATAGCTATCTAATTCAAACCACGTTCTTTATTGCTTCACTAGACGATGGAACAATTCTCCACGTGAACACAACTTATGCAAAAAGGTTCCTGTTTGTGGGTTCCAACCTGGTCTTGGTGGGCTTCATTGGAAAATTGATAAAAGACAACGCATCTCGAGCGCTGCCGGAAGACGACGACGATGATGGAATCAACCAGAAGTCGAGTTGTTATATGTTCTGGGACGCCATGTTTCCCCATGCGACTGAAGCCCTTGCTATCAGAGACTAATAGGGAGGGACCGCCGTATAAACTCAAAATCAAGCGGTAAGATGTATCAATATATTGATTAAATCCGTTAATAAAAAGGGCTAGATGCAGGGCATCTAGTAACACGGTATTTTAGCCGTACCTAGGCCAGGGAACCGTAATTGACCACGCAATACACCATGAGTACACGCATCGCGATGTGTCAGACACACTAGCTGAACTGGTGATGACTAGCAAAAAAATAAACGCCATAAGCTAGTTAAATCCTCATTGCGGAGGGTTGAGGGGATGTGTACTCTTGTCTCGGCTACTACAGAAGTTGGAGGAATATTGCATTGTTATTAGGTTAAGTCAATAGTGGGCAATTTCTTTGGGGAACAAGTTGCTGGGGCACAATTGACGCCTTTTTGACCTTGTATCCGCCTGGTTCTTGACATGACAATCGTCTGACGAGTCGACGCCACTCTTCGCTCAATTGATGACCGAGAGTGCGAGCATACCGAGGGGTTGATCACCTCCTCTCCCACCAGCTCTGGACGTTTAAACACGCGGCTCCACCCGAAAATATCGGAGAACCATATTTATAGCCATTATTGGCTTGCAGATCCGGAGCAAACCCCGGAGAGAAGGGCTTGCCTCCATTTGCGCAACCAAAACTTGTTCTGTGAGCCTCGCCGGCGCAAGACGGGCTTCTGGTTATTGACCGTGCTTGCTCCGATGATATCATCGATGTCATAATGCAATCGGTTTCCCTTGTTGCCGCTTATCCTTGCCTGCACATGGAACCAGCGGAGCACAACAGGCTCAGCGAATAGTTACAAGAAGACATCCTCTGGTCTTGCAAGCATCGCTGTCGGCTTCGTTCCGACGGAGAAACACACACACACACAAAAGACAACACGGAGTCACATTTTTCTGGGACCTCGAAAGCTGTTGAGGCCCAGTGGTCTAATCAACAGCCCGCGCGACGTATGGGAAGATGTGCATCGGGTTGTTCCCAAGGCTAGGAGAAACACATCCGTGAACCAGTCGCGCGTCGTCTTGTTGATGTCCGCCAACACACGCAACTACACCAATGAGGACAACTTCTGCCCTTGTACAACCCCAGATTGTTCGTGGGACAAAGTAGACAATCTTGGACCCGTTTAATAGACAATTTTATTCTATTAAACAACTAACTTGTATACCCCCATGATATTCAGTAAAGGATGTCATGCCTTCTTCCCGTGCCCGCGACCACTACCCTATTCTCCCTGGATATTGTCTGTCGTTGTCGTCGTCGCTGCTGTTGCTGCTGTTGCTGCTGTTGCTGCTGCAGCTACTACGGCGTCTGCGCTCGTCTTCAAACCACGAGCTTAGCGACTTACCCTCAAAAGTCAAGTCTGCGTCGTTAATCTCCGTGGCCCGAACCCATTTGGGTGCCAGAGGATCGAGGGAGCGTAGGCCGGGAACGTAATAGTATGTGTCTTTTGACGTGGTTGTGGTCATGTTTTCGCGTCGTGTAGAACGGTTGTGGTTTTTAGCATTTAGAGCTTGGATTCATGATACAGCTCCTTACGCGCCTGAGCCGGCGAATGGAGGCTTTTTATACAAGTAGCCCAGCCAGGTTCATACTTTCCGCTTATGTTGGTGGCGGGCGCAAAACGCTGAAGCCTCACGTCATTTGGCGGTGGCAAATGCACAACTTTACCTCATCAGCCCCCCGAGCCAGCACAGGCACTCACCGGGGGCACCCGGAGGCCGTTGCGTGGCAAGCTGAAAAGGTCAAGAGCAGTTGGGAAGGACTGCGGCGCACAAATATGACGTGGTCGCCAACATTCAATGCTGCCCCCAGCCTGCTTTGCTGCCATCAAAATGAATATTACGCGTGATGACGTCGGGGGGACTGGCCTGCAGAGTTTTTTTAAAAATAGGCAATCTTTCCATTGTTACTACCCGCAATTTGTGCTTAAATGCACCGGGAGACGCCTGGCAGCGTATAAGTCGCCATGGTGAGGAAGACTTCACAGCAAAGGGCCGCGACCAATGCAATGGTTTCGTGCAGGGCCGACAACCACCACCAAGATGGCGAGATGCCTTGCATAGCGAATAGGCCAAGTCTACCGATTCGAAGTCTAAAGCGAAAGCACTCTGATGATAGTACCGCTGGAGGATCAGCTCAGCGAGACACCGACTCGGCTTCGCGGTGTCGACTCCGCCCTATAGATACTACATCAGCCCAGACAACTGATGACTACAACTTTCACTGGAACATGTCGGCATCGTTTGAGTCTGCCTCGGCTTACAAGGTGCAGGGTGTGCCACAAGAGCATCTACACTGGGTTGGGCCCGCCTTTGCAGACGACTTGTCAGAGTACTCGTCACTGTCGACGCCTTCACCTGCACTAGCTGCCTACATGCCACCGTCTTCTCGGCGTTTTGGCGAAATGACCTTGCCAGAGACAGGCAGGCTGGAAGATGCCTTCAGTCAGTCTGCGGGAACGTGTCTTGGCAGAAGACAAACGAGCTATGGGTATGACGGCGGTTTTGCGGGGATGCAGGATAGGAAACGTATGGATCGTATCTTGGGGAACTTGATCCAGACGGAATTCCGGCAAAGGGAGCATGCAAAGCAGCAGCTTGCGGCCATTCATAATTCAAGGTGCAACGTTCGGGATGGAGGAAGGTGGTAGTTGGTATCCCAGCAGTAGTATGTGGATTGGTTCGCAGCGGAGACCACGATGGCCGGCCATGGCTCAACCACCTCGCTTCAAGTAAATTATATCATTGTCAAGTTGTAAATTAAACTAGAGAGTGCTGGTACATGTAGTTGAAAACAATTGGTCTTCCAGCCGTGTCTTGTGGCATAATTTGGTGACTTGGGTGCCCACATGCACGTACACAGTGGGAGGTAATAGGTGCCTAATTTGCCCACGTCCTCGTACCAGGCTAGCCTGGTTAGGAGTCTCAGCTCTAGCCAACCGTTGACTCCAATAACCCTGACCCTAATTGCCGCCCGAGCACGCACGGTCATCCACCCACCGCCAAGTCCCGGCCATGACCCCACCAGACATGTGCAACTTGTGGTCCGACTCCGATCCGTCTACTCCGTAGGCTGCAAGAGACGGTACTCCGCACTGGTTCCACCATCAAAAATATGATGCCACCTGGCGGAACGTGACGAATAGGGTGTAAAAGGTCCACGGGTACCCGTGTGGGTTGCTTACCCGTGGGCTTTAGGTAAGGTATAGGTAGGAAAAAAAGACTTAAATGGATTCGTAGGGGAAAATAGGGTACCTATAACTATCTATTAAAAATATTAGGTGTTTTTAGGTACCTAGATAAGACCCATGTAACTTTAAATGTTACTTTATACTTTAAACTTAAGACTTATTATTATAAATATAATTAAATATTAAAGCGTAAACGTTAATTATTAAAATTAATTATTATAATTGATTTATTTATTTAATTTATATTATTATATTATATTATTATACGTTTATAGGTATTTATAGGGTATTTATCTTTATATTAGGTTACCCGTAGTATACCTAAACCACCTACATGATAAAATGGGTAGCCCACGAATAACCCAAGAAAAACTTGGATACCCACGGGTGCCCACGGGTACCCGTTTTTACACTCTAG